TATCGCTATTAATATGATTATGGTTTTATCACTGACTAAATTCATGTCTTATGAGTGGATAGGGTAAAAGTGGCAGCATGTCTGATGATTTCAGATGGATATTGAAAATATATTCATTTTATAGTCATTTTATGTTTGCTATAAAATATGATAATTGCTTGGCTATTATAAAATGTAATGCAATGTTTGATAATTTCATATGTTTGATGATGCAATGTTTGATAATATATTTGATATATAGAATGTTTGATAATATATAGGATCTTTTAAATCTACCAGAGTAAGACTAAGCGGTATTTTTGCATGAGTAATGTGAAGAGTAGAGAGTGTTGCGAAGCAGGAGGAATGGAGGATGGAGGAGATTGTAAGAAATAGTGAAGGAGAAAGAGCGAGATTGATGTTGTAGTAGATATCGAACTTATTGTTTTCTGTTTTGAATTTAACGAGATTTCGATTATCCAATAGTTCTTCGGGAGCATGTTACCTGCTTTCACGTACGTGAAGTGTGGGTAAGTGTGAAGGAAGCATAGTTGTGATTATCTCTTGTATCCATTGCACTGGTTTAGTTTAATATCAAATAGAACTCGGGAATGACCTGGGGTTGCCGAAAAAGTTCGATTATGCATTTAGGTTGTATTTGCAATCAGTAGTTTTTATGTGCAGTTAATAAACGCTTTCAAGTTATATCAAAGAAATAGTAGACGAAGTGGACGCTCACTAAAAGTTCACTAAAAGTGAACATGATGTAAGCATCTGTAAATTACCTGAATATTTTAAAATAGATTTTTATTTAATATTTGTTAGCTACATAAATATTATTTGTTTGTGAAATTGTCAAAGTTCCAATTAACAATCTTTTTCCTAACTTTAAACATTTTGTAAGGAAAGTTCGCACATTGAAAAATTGGTAAAATTGCAGAAAGATCATGATTTATTTCAGGTTTTGCTGAATAAGCAAGTTAACAATTTTTCATTTTAAAACGTGCGACCATAATCGTCTCGAATGAATTCTAATTCCAAGTTTCATCTGGAGGATCAATTATCCACCGCATCGACGTCTCCTATGAATGTAGGGTTTCAGAATATTTTCTTTCAAATATTATTACTACTTCAAGTATACCAGTTTGCTATAAGTGTCATGTAAATAAATTTGCTAGTGTGAAAAATGAAAAAATACGGTGCTTAAAATGAAAGTGGCCAATGTAAAAATTTTTTTCGCAAGAGATTTTAATATCCCTTTTTCATTAGTTCATGCGAACTCTAATTTTTTAGTGAATCATAGCAGGAGTATCGAAAATAGTTGTTTCTACTTTACAAAGGTGTGTTATATCAAGCGTATTGCATATGTTCATTGAGGCAAAACATTTATTAAGTTTTGTCATTCTTCTTTTACGAAATTTATTACGAATCAAAATGATACAGAAACTTTCTGAATAGAAAAGAAGGTAGTAGATAGTTATTCTATTCGAAGTCGATAATTGAAAAGGAGACATGGAACATGTTTTCTTGTCCTGCTAGTATTGAAAACATTATAGGAAACGGAATTAGATTTCGAACCTGTTGTCGGCGATCTATCAGATATTACAACTACATCTGCAGTGGTACCAATTACGACCAAACAGTTGATGACGCAAACAGGTGAAGACGTGTATGATGTAATTACTGCTAGTCCTTCAGGTTCCTCTGATGGAAGCAGCAATGAGTTTGTGAAGGTGGAACATAGCGATGTGCAACAGAAGTAATCATTTCCAACTATCGAATTAGCAGATATTGTGCTTGAAGGCAAACAAAATATAACTGATAATTTTAAGCCTAGTAATATTAAAAAAAAAACTTTCTGTATTATTTCTCTAGTGATTGTTTTTGATTTTTCATTCAGCGAAAGAAAGAGTGAACAATGGAAGCAAATTTTAAATATTAAGTACAATGGTAGAACACAGTTTAGTGTTCCGCATAGCAGTTTAACTGTTTTGATAGCGGTGATAAGTAAATAATGAATTATCTCCTGTACTGTTTGCAGTTTTTATTATTTTCCTTTTTGTGCAAAAAACCAACCAAGTATCAAGACAGTTTAATTATAATTGTAATATTTCAATGTTTCTGACATTTGACCTACATTAGCTATAATTATTAGAAACATATTTGGATCACTTCGTCTATTAATGCACATTTTCGTTTTGATAACTGATCCAGTGATCTTTTTTTTGGTAAATATTGCTAGTTTTTTCTAGAGTTTCAGTTTTGTTTAGCGCAATTTACTGTAAAAAGATTAACCCATTATTTGTTTGCGGATATGAGATCTGCCCTAACAACTTTGCCTATTCATATTCCTTCTGCTTTTATTCGAACTATTGGTGGCCTTTGTCTGTAGAGACCAATTTTGTGATATTAAGAAATGGAGCAAACTACAACTTAACTTTATGTAAATATAATTACTTAAGAACAGTTTCATGTTTTCCTAGGATCTGTCAGCATTTTTTTAAGTTTGTATCTTTCAGTGTTGAATTAACCGGTAATCCATTGTCATTCAAAATGTTGCAAATGCATGATGATGCCGATAATGAGAAGAGAGGAACAGATCGAAAATATCCTGTTGTGAGTTGTTAGTTACTGCTTACACTTATGAGTTTCTTAAAATAACAAAATGATCTATTATTTTTAGCATTTATAGCGTAAAGAAATTACTTTTGGATTCTAACTTTTTTAATTTAGTGTTGCTTATAAAACTTTTATCCTTCTCGGGTTTTCCTCTTTGTTGAAGAAAGTGAAGATAAAACTCTGAGTATATTAATGCTCTTTCTTTCCTATTCTCATCGCAATACCGTATATTATCTCGAATCTATAAAGAGTATGAAGAGATTCCAAAACAGTAGAATTATGCAAAAGAATATTATGAAGTATTTTTTTTCAATGTTGGATAATTCACAAAATTTTGGGTTTATAATGAATACATGCAATTCAAAAGAGTTGTTCATTAAGGAATGATTATTTTGAGGTGTCTGTACTAAGTTGGTGGTACGTCGGTGCTCGAGACTAGCAGTTTATTTCCGTTTTCTCTCTAGTAATTTAAGAAGACTGCACTAGTTTCATTGATTGCACAAAGTCGCTTTCATAATTCTCCATCATGTCCATCACCGGAATCGACTCTTCGATTTCTTTTCATTCCTATTTTCTCCAAATGTATGTCGGCCTCTAATAACAGCGATGAAGACTTAATCTGTAATTTTCTTACATTTCTTAAATTTGACATGTATTGGAAATCGAAGAAAGTAGTTAGAGTCCTTCAAAAATGTTTGTGGTATTTCAAGGTCATTAAACCAGAATTATATTAAGTGGTATTGGTTACTCTCCTCTCTCTAGTTTTTTTTACTATCCACCTTGACTATTAACCTGTAACTTTTGTGTGATCGGATTCATGCTAAATATCTTCCTTAATCGATATAATATTTCTGGATCTAAGTTATGCAATTAATATATTTCAAATTATTAAATGATCCAATTGTCTTTAAGTTTTGTAAACAATCTGTACAATTGTTTGCGCTGCCTTACATGTGACATATTATTTTGGAGCTTAAATCTTTAAATCCTGAAGATGCTTGAACCATCTAATAATAGTTTAAGCTATATTGCTTGCTCTTTCCCAAATCATCATCGGGAGGGGTCTATAAAACTTTCCAGATCCCTTAAGTTTGTTAGAAGCCACAAACAGGTCTCCCATTCTTCCTTTCCATTTTTTCTTATCTACTCGTAAGGATGGTGCAATTTTGGGAATGAAGATGTCATTATGCAGTTTGCTACATCATTACTGATATGATAAAAATGATGCCTTCTTTAATGGAACAGTGCAATCCGTGTGGCAGTATGTTTTCCTGAACTGAAGGCATATTTAGTGCAGCTGAGGAATGCTTGCAGCCATTCAGTTTGAGTCGCTGCAAGCATTCCTCATGCCGCTGTTTCTCTATAGTCCTCCCACATAGTGTTTTTATTGAGCATATATTTATATATATATATTGTTAAGATAGAATGGGATGGGAAGGACGGAGAGAAAAATATAGGCGAGTGATGACGAATCCTTACTGTGGCTGGAAACCAGTTCAACTTATAGTGTTGTTAGTAGAATTGCGCATTTCATCTTCTTTTCCTTCTCTTGTACCGGGAAATAGTTTATGGCAAAATTATTCCATTATGATCATAGCTAATATAATAATGATAGTAAGAGATATCACTATGTATTGTGCATCGATTTCCTTTTAGTCAATCTTTTTCTATAATGACTGGTTTATTTTCTATTTCCTCTCTCATCAGTATTCTCTTTCCAGTCCTTCTCACATGTAGTCATCATTTTTGTTATTTAATCATTTATCATTTTTTTTCATTCAATTCTATTGTAAATGTTTACTGGTTATATTTTCGGATATATTATTGATATTGATATTATACTTGTATGTCTGACTGTTCACACTTCATGGGATAACATGAGAGCATTTTATTATAAAAAAACAGAAAGGACTGGAAGCGTAAGCTATTTTAATCATTGATTGTGTGCAACATAGGCATTGTCAGCTCCTCATTGTTGGTTGCATGTAATTAGTAATTTTTGCATATTTTGCATTCTGAAAGATTTTTAAATATGACTTCTTAACAATTTGAGTATAACTGTAGATTACGTGTAGCATATTTTTGGTTTATGAATCTAATTGCAAGTTGCATATTTTGGTTTAGGACTTGATATACAATTTGCGCATGAGATCTTATTCTGAAAGCTATAATTACCAATGCTGATTAATAATGCTGTTTGAGGGAAACATAATGGATCGCGAATTTGTATCAGAGGAACCTTACAGCGGGATTTTGCCTAGAGCTGAAGAGTTTGCAGAATTTGCCGCTGAAAAAGTGAGCGATATAACCAAAGCAGGTGAGTATTGCTGCAGGATATGCATTATTGCTTGTTTCATTTGTACAATTGGAGTTGTAAAACTGTTTCAGCAGACAGTAAGTGCATAATGCAAATAAAAAATGTAGGCAAAAAAAATAGTGTATTTTCTTCTCCGCATCTAAAGAGTTGTTTTAGATCTTTGAGTTGATGTCAGTAATGTTGAGATTTCTGTAAGACTGACGTGTATAAAATTTTTTTTTAAAATGTCTTTCTATTTATCATGAGTTGCTTCACGGCAAATAAATTGCGATGAAGATAGGAAGTGACAAAACTAGTCATTTCGAGACTATGGAAATCAGATATATTTAAGTAAAACAATATATCAGAGATCAGTGATTTGACAGAGGAAAAAATTGAAATTTGACTCATCACAGACTGCCATTATTGTCATTTCGGACATTGATTTTGATTTTTTTTCTCTTCCCATTCGAGTTGTCTGACTAATTTTTTTCTTAGAAAAAATAACAGAAAGAGGACTACGATCTTCATTAAGTAGTTTTCTTTCGAAATTAGTTTCTGGACGTCGGATTTCAAGAGTTGAGCAATTTTCCTAAAAATTGGTAAAGTATCTTGTTCTTAAATGACTTTAGATACAAGAAATTTTAGATACAAGGAATTCTTGAGGTTCTCTGTTTTCAGAATAATTGTAAGGGGATTTACTCCAAATTAAGTCTGGATGGTTTATCTTTTTTATTTCGTTTTTATATTCATTTTTTACTGAAAGATGGAATTGATCAGCATTCATATTTCGTATTTTAAATAGGACAGGAAAAAGGAGAGTACAGTGGAAAATTTTCTTTTCCACTTCGATCTATTATAGGTGCAGGAAAAGTAATGGATGCAACAAATAAAGCTGTGAATGATGCCAAGGTAGCAGGAGAATCACTTGACGATACAATCCATCTCTTTGGTGACAAGCTGAAAGAAACAACGAGACAGGCAGGAGATATGGGACATCAAGCAGTAGAGGCTGCCAAAGATACTACTTCAAATATGCTATCCGGGATAGATATGTCAGAGAAAACTCGCAGTATTGGTGCAGATGTGGCACATTCGTTAGATGAAGGCGCAAACAAAGCGATGGATACTTTCAAGGAGGAATTTGATGATGTCAGTCATGGCATTTTGGATACCGCTCATCTTGCTACCAGCACTTTAAAAAACACATTACAAGAAGCGGGTGACGTCCTTAAAGGTTAGCAGTTATAAGTTAGCTTGAGGTATACTTGTTGTGAATCAGGTACGCTTTTCATATTGAATAGCAATGATGAAAATTTAAGATTTGTGCCATTTCACTCTAATCACCTTATTTTCCCCAAATTTTGATAACCATCGAGAGTTTCAAGCAAAAACGTCGATAGCAACACCTACCCTTCAGAAAAAAAAAACTATATATTAAGCTATTTGTTTCAGATGCAGCACCTCAATTAGTTCATTCTGCCGAAGATAGTTTGTCAGATTTGAATAACAAAATAAAAAACAGTGATTTGTATGCTAGAATCGAAACAAGCGGTGCAATAAAACCCAGACAGGAAGACTTGATTGGACTTACCGATGAGATTAACAGTGCGTCGGAGCGTGATGCGGGGTATCGTTCAATATTCCAGCAATCGACAGGTGGTACCCATCAAGATGTAGATTACCCATCAGGAAAGTGGAATTTGGATTGGAGACAGTATGCTAACGAAGAGACAGGGATCGGTGCACATCATTCCGATTTTGATGTTAAAGCAGTTCACTCTGCAGGTGAGTAATGCTCAAATTTAGTCTTATTTTTTTGTCGAACACTTAATTTTTGCACTTCAAGTTTGTTATTGCTACATATCGTTTTTGCAAAGTGAGTGCTTACTAAATATTGCCATGTTAACAATGAACTGCATCATTAGAGACGTAAGAAGCGGTGTGTAAAGGTGTAAAATGAGACTTAAAGGAGAAGGAAGAAAATACAAATTACGATGAGAAAAGAAACGAGAAACGATTATAGCGTTGTGTTTGCATGTTTCTTTATATGTATTATTGAGGGTTTTTGAAGCGCAATGATTGATTCTTCAGACAATGCTTCAATTCCTTTCACGCATACCATCATTTTTTCATATTGGTATACCCATATAAGGAACTGTTTTTCATTTTCCATTTTGTACGTAAGCACCACACCAAATTTTTTCCCACTTTTTATGAACATTTTATGAACACAGTGAGTGTTGAAAAAATGTTGGGATTTCTAAAAGATAAATCAAGAAAATATAGTTCATAATCTTCTGATTGATTTAAATAAAATGGGCTGTCGTAGGATGTCGTAGGATTGGAACAGCAACGGATGAATTGTTCTGATGCTCATTTTTAACTAAGAATGTTTTTGAGCTAACTCATTTTAATTTCTTTTATATTCATTTTAACATTAAAAACCATCGGATCGGCTCAAATCCGTTTATCAGTTCATTTTTTTTCATTGACATCAGACAGATAATCAGGGGAATTATTACTTTTTATTTACCTGCCGCACATTTTCATGAATCTTAGTCAAATCGGCATAGCTGCATGCTTCAGCAATAATTACACTTATTTAGAAAATGCAATCCATGATGAAATTGTTGATGTGCATGACCAAGTAGACTCGATGATTGCTAAAATGTCCGTTGCAGGTGCCCCACAGCATGGTAAGTCTTAATCATTGGAATTCATTTCCTACATTTTTTACACTCTCCTGATAGAATAGCCTTTTGGTTTTCATATGTCTTTTTTAGCTTTAAGTTATTAAATACTCTTTTGCTAAGTCGTTCATGTTGTAGATGATAGCAGTGCAGAGGAAAGTATGTTTGACAGAAAAGGACCATTGACTATACCACAGCAGGTTAGCCTCTTTTTGTTCAGTAGCTCAAGCATTCTCAAAAACATGTTGGAATAAGTAATTCAGCAAAGGATCAAACTGATGAAACTCCTACTGCGATATGAAAAACCAAAATTATTGCTTAAATATAATCTACTGCACATCAATCCTTCCATAGCTAAATGTATTTCGTTGCAAATTCAAGTATTCTTTCTGGAGTGCTCAGATATTTGGAACTGTTGAATTCTATTCCATAATTCGTATGTCTGTATTTCTGTTCTAATATGTACGAATATTAATTGCAGACTCCCGATGATATGATACAGTTCGAACATGGCTTTGACTCTTCAAAACAAAGGTAAACTTTACATTGATAATCGGTTAAGAGTTGCTGAAGAAAACAGGGGAATAATTGCGGTAATAAAGGATAAAAAGGTGACTTTTGCGGTATTTGAATTTTCACGGGACTATTAATTCAATTCCAGCGGTTTTGAAGTGTCGCCCCGTCCACCCACACCACCAAAAGAGCTCGATGATGAGGACGTAAAACCGACCACGATTGATTTGGGACAAACAGCCGGTAGATTACGTGAGTTTTCCCATTTTTTTATTTTTTTTTACTATTTAAATTAGTCCCGGTGACCTTACAAGCGCACAACTTGTATGATTGAAGGCCACTATTTTCAATGGTCGTTACCCTAATTTTGCTTTTTTTGACATTTTATGTTTACAACACCAACATTGTTTTTTATTAAATTCTTAATTGATAAGATATGGTGATGCAAAAGGAGAAAAAGGATAGAATCTCATCTCAATTTACTGACTCTAGCCATATTTTATCTTGTCATTGATGAGGAAATGAATAATTTCCTACTTTTAGCATGAACCCAATGGGCAAAAAATAGGTTTAAGTACTATAATCTAGTAGATTTGTAATGATGTCATTATACTATATGATGAATTGAGGAGGTTTATATCTAACATTTTAACAATTTAATGTACTGTAGTTACCATCCTCACAAGATACTAGGAATTTTTGTGACTAGAGTGTTTCGTAATAATTTTGATGAATAGGACATTTTGCAAAGCAATCATTACTAGGTGAGGTATGTTATGGTTAATAACGCAAAATATGATTCCTCGAATTTAACACTCTTAATAGATTTGTGAAAAATAATTTTGATTTTCAATTTAATATATTATGACTAGTAAAAGTTATATTTGAAATGATTAGAGAATGTAATGTCGAATAGATTAAAGGATAGAATATGACGACTATCAACAGTTTTTTTTTTTGACAGATTGGGGAAGATCTAGCTCTTTTGGGCATGGAATTTATCTCCACAAATGCGTCCTTGGAATTCTAGTAATTTTTTTTTGCAAGAAGTTGCAACATAAACTAACGCAACTTACAAACATATATAATGTTTTTGAGTCTCTTGTTGAACAGGAATAATATGAACAAAATTTTCAGTTGTCACTGGTGAACATCGAAGTTCGATATTGAAAAACAGTACACAAGGTGCCAGATTTAATTTCAAGGATATGGATGCAAGATGTAAGTGGTCACTATTACATCCTCGTAACTTTATTATTATTGTATATAGTTGACTTTATTATTTATTTATTGGATAAGCGTAATTATAAGTTGAACATAAAGGACGAAATGTTTCAAAGATAAATTATGAACGATATTTAAAGAATCATTCATATTGTATTTACGTAAAATCAAACTAAATGCTGAGAACCTACATTAATCAATATCAATGTTGTTTGACAAACACCCTATTGATCACCCTATTCGTTATTTCTCATTACGCTTCTAGCAATTTGATTCAACATTAGCTAAAGATCGCATCATCTCTCATGTTACGTAGTATTAGAGCTACTGCTTAAGGCCACTTGCATGAAAAATTGCATCTAATTCTTAATAGTGTAAAAGATTAAAATGATTGGGGATGTGGTGATATAGCAGTCTACTGTATCTGGCATACACCTAATAATGATGCTATGTTGGATTGCTTGCATGATATGTTGTTCCTGGAGTCTGTGCTGCATATTGTTGGTGAAATGCGACTAAAGCTAGGGAGCATCCAGAAAGAATGATGGAGAATAAAATCGATCTCTGTCAGTGTGTCTTCTTCGACGCTGCTACCTCTGCTTGCATGAAAGTAATAAGCACATCATCAGATGTTATCGGATTTTGATTAGGATATTTTTGAGACTTCTGAAATTAATGAAATGAAGCTAAAAGCGGGTAATCCGAGAGTTTTTTTTTTAATTTCCAAATAATAGGTTATAACGTTTTTCATTAGTTTAAGTTAGTAACTGTTAAATAACGTTAAATCGAAATTTGGTAACCAACAAGCTTGTTTTTCATTGAATGGGAAAGCTTGGGAGATGGGGGAGGGGGTAACTTTGTTTTATTATTTTATAAAAGATGTTTCAGCATAGCCGAAAAATATTCGATGGATTGTTTATTAATAAGTTTACCACAGAAACAATTTTTTTGCTCCTTTATAGCATCATTTTAAAGGAACGGCAACGTTCATTGCTTTTTCGTCTTATTAAACCTTGAATGAATTATTGCAAGCGCTAGAGATGGAGTTGCCTAAGCACAGTGCATCCGACACTTATTTTGTGACGCGATAAAAAACAAAACAGCTGTAATATTAGCAATGCCTGTTCCAAATTACGTCGAATAGTGTAAATTAGCAGACGAGGAACTCATCAGTAATGACAATTTTTTGACTGGTAAAAACCTTTTTCAATTTCAATATCGCCAACATTTCTTATCGGAGATTAGAAAGAAACTTTGCATACTTTCTATTTCTGCGTATCACGATTGTTTCTTAGGAAATGAATTTCAAACTCAGCCTTTCTTCATTGTTTCGATTCTGCAACAATTAAAATAGCTCCTCTCTTTCAAAAGACAATGCAGGGTTTCGTTTCATGATTGGTACAAACAAAAAAAAAACAGTAATTTTTTTTCCCAGTTCTCTTCAACCGTTGTACTTTATTCCTTTAGCATGACGTATTACGTTAACTTACAGATTCACACGTATCCTCTTTTCGTTTCTTTTCAGATACGAAAGCTTTATAGATATGCTAATTTGTAGTAATTTTCATGGGAATATTTTCCCTGCTATACCTCACATATATTAGATCAGCCTGCGTTAGTCAGCTGCCTCTCCAAAGAATTACCTGATCGTTCTCAAATCCAATCTTTTCATCCATAAACTCTCCCTTACTTGCATCACTTTGTTTACTAGTTCTGTCACCATCACCATCACCATCACTACCACTACCACCATCATCACCACCAAGGGAAATGGATGACTCATAAAGAGCTGCTTGTATATCTCTGAAGGCAAGGGGAGAAGGGTGATGTATGTGTGTGTGTGTGTATGTTGTTGCTTAGTGCTGCTATTGCTGAAGGAGAGAGTGCGGCAAATTGAGCAGAATAAGAGAAAGATCAATAAGGTTATTGGATTGTCCCGCGGTTTTCCAGTTAGAACATTGCATCAGCACTGCACATTGTCTCACACTCTTCCATCAAGCAGCAGCAGTGGTTGCAGCAATAACAACAACAGCTATCTCAACCTGTTTCTCTTGTCCATTGCATTCATTCCCATTAGTGCACTAAATTGGAATTTTCATGTCCTTCTTTATTAATCGGCTAATGTGTGGGATACTTCCTCATTTCCTGTTCTCATCGAGGTCATCTTCAATCCAGTTATATCAGGATAGAATTTGAGGGAAAAGCGACGAGCATCAAAGTATACTGGATTAGAAATGAAGCGAAATGATCTTATGATTCTCATAACATCTATTTACTCTCTGTGTGTGGAAAAATTTTCTTAAATTGTCTCTCACTGTACACTGACATATATTCATGCATAGTATATATGCATCAGAAGAATACTAAAGTATTAATATCTATTTAGGGTTATTTTAGTTTATTCTGAAGGAAAGAGAGAAGTATTTTGTTCCATATTAATTTTGTTGTGTGATAGTGACACATTTGACATAAATCATTTTGATAAATTTGATTGGTAAAAAAAATCAAGTTTTTTATTATGCTTTTTTTAAAGCATACTGAATTAACGGGAGATCTTTCTCTCTGAATCATATCAGTCAAAAAGTGTACCTAATTTTTGATCTCAATTTTTTTTTGGGATAATTTTGACCCCGTAATTCGTTGCATATTACACAACTTTTTTTCTACGTCTACAAATGTCATTAGATTATTCTCATAAAAAATATGCCGACCTCAATTATCTTTTTACGTGTGCATGAATTTAAGATAGTTAATGGTGAAAATTTTATGTTATTGAAATTAAGTGCAATTTATCAGGTTAACAGAATTTGTGCGTAAACAATGGCAGATTCAAAAGCTGGTAGTTCAGGTATTTTTAACATCCTGTTCAGTACCACATATGCCCTGATCTCACTAACAACTCGTACTATTCTTCGGTTTGGCCTCACGACGGCTTTGATTGCAACCGTTGTAATCACCCTTCATGCTGCAGGTCAATTTAGCAAACGAACTTTATCGCAAAGGCAAGATGGTAATTATTTGAAAAGTAATTTAATTTCGCTTGAACATTACTAAATTTAGTCCATTATATGAATGAAAGCATTTGAATGAAAGTGAAAATTTTATGATATAATGGTAGAAATTCGCTTTTAATCACTTTTTTTCTCAATCTTGTTATATGATTTTAGTCTGGAATCTGGAGTTTCGTATTTCTTCTTCATATATACCGAATCCGATTTTTGATCGGAACTTTAAATTTGATGCAGCAAAGATGAAGTAGGGAAGGCTCATATGATTTACTTTTGTCCTGAATGTGCGTTTCTGACAGCATAAGATATTATCCTGGGCATTAAATGCTGTGTACCGTAATGTTGAGTTTTGTTGATGCAGGAGATAATTTGTAACAGAAAAAAAAGAAATTTTGTTTGAATTATAATCTAATAAGACCTCACTTAGTTCTCTGCTTTGAATATTTTGATATTTAAGGTGTTATTATGGAATGCAAAATTCATAGTAAAATAATTGGTCAGCAATTCTTAAATTATTATGTAGGAAGGAGATAAAAATGATCATTCATTATGATCTTTGATTTGTAAATAATAGTGCACATTTCTCATTTCAGTTTTGGATATAATTTACTGGCGTGATCCGAAAAAATCTGGTGCAGTACTTGGTGTTACTCTCATTGCGTTGCTCGTATTCGCGAATTTTCCATTGATTGCAGTCTTTAGTTATGTTGGATTGTCAATCCTTGGTGGTACGCTCGGTTTTCGCATTTACAAATTGATTGAAGCACAGATTAAAAAAACGGATAGCACAAATCCATATCAGTAAGTGAAAGAACTCATTTTTCCCTAGCACCTTGAACTTTTGGCGTACTAGATTCAAAAAATTCTTAGACTAAAATGGCTAAACAAGAATAGTGAATGGCGATCAATCTTCTTTCTATCAACATCAAAAGAGTTGTCGGATGTATTGGCTAATTGCGTTTAATATATCAAATCTAGACTATTTCATTCAGGGCATATTTGGAGGACAAGGAATTTTATTTACCTAAAGAAAAAGTGCATCAACAAGTGGACGCACTTATCGAGCATGTGCAGTTTATCGGTAACAAACTGAGGCGGTTATTTTTAGTGGAAAATATTGTGGAAAGTGTCAAGGTGACTTGCTTTTTTCTGCATGGAATTTAGTAACACTTTTAAAATATTGGAGTTGAGATTTAATAAAAGAAATGTGTATTGATCTATTATGTATCAGTTGCTCTTTAAATATAGGTTGTTCATTTTCAACTTGATATAAATAAAATATTAGGCTTCGAATTTCATTGCCAAAATCACAGTGCCAGTAATTTCAGTTCGGTCTTCTACTTTGGGCGCTTACATATGTCAGCTGCTGGTTCTCTGGATTCTCTCTACTGATACTTGGTGAGTTTTTTATATTTCTTTTCTCTTAATTTACTAACAGTGTTTGATAATGCATTTCTGGAAAAAAACTATTAATTGTACTAGTAGACTAATTTCCTATTCTCACATTAAGTTATCATCTGTTTCGTCCTCCCTTCTTTCGCAGTTTTCATAAATAGCAATCCTAAATTTCAACTGTTATTGAGATGATTCTTCAAGAAACTTGGAAGAAGAGATAGTAAGCCGTCATTATAGTCATGTACTGCTAAAATCCTTTTCAGCAATATTGGCTGTATTCACAATCCCAAAAGTATATGAGGTTTACCAAGAACCTATTGATCATAATGTTTCCTTGGCGAAGCAACATGTCGACAATGTAAACAAGATGTAAATATATATAGTCATTTTCTTCTCTTATTTAATTACCAGTGTACTGTGCCTTACTGCGAAATGTTAGTATACGGAGAATTGAAATGTGTTTACGTCACATATTTTCACTTTACCAGTGTCAGTAACTAATATTGGATGTTCATCTTTTTGACAGGGAACTTCATTACAGATCATATTCAATACCGCATGCTTTACTCTGGATTAGAGAAATGTTATAATCATAGAGTATATTGGAGCATTGAGATATGAATTTAGTTCATCTATGCTTGTCTGGTTAAATTCAGGCTAGCTCTTATGCAGATAATGGATAATAGAAATTGGTACTAAAAACATATATTTTCAGGATTGGCGAAAAGGTACCGTTCTTGAAGAAGGCTGCTGCTTGCGACATCAGTCATGAGAAGTCATATTGATCGTATATTCCCTCGTGGAGTGCACAAAATTTTTTGCTATGTATAATGCTCATTTCGCTGACTCTTTTGTAACTATTCTGATATTTTTTAATCCATATTTGATGTTGGAAATTTGCTTAATCATGCATATGAACTTCATATGAAAATTCAAATAACTATTGCATTAACGGATGCAGAAGAGAGGGGGTTTGATCTTGTACATCAATTTTCTGAAGTTTAAGAAGCATTTCTAAATGTGACCTTCTTCCCCCTACTTCTCATCGTTTCTCTTCTTTCGGTATTTTTCAACCGTCTTTTTTTCAGTTTAGCGTCATTATATGTTTTTTTTCTGCTTCTGATATTTCCTTGTCAGATTAACAGTAGTAATGCCCTTCGTACATATTTTTCCTTATCGTGTTTGGTGATTTAGGATTATAAAACTGAGTAAGAACATTGTATTTAGTTTGCAGTGATATTCAAAATTATGAAGTTCCGTGATTGCTGAAGTCAAACTTAAAGAATCTGATCTTTAGTACTTCTCCCTAATTGACCGCTTTTGAGCTTATCTTTTTTTACAAATAGTAATTTTTCTTGCCATTATATTTGTTGAAATTCTCAGTCATGTGCATCACGGGCAGATTCTACAACGTTTGTCATTTTGCTGCTATGTCGAAGATTGCTTTTAATTCCTTATTGGTTCGTTTACCTTTTGATTTTTTTTCTTTCGCTATTTCTGTTGATTGTTATGTTTTTTTGTATCTTCAGATGCTGTGTGATTTCATGATACTACTATGCTAATGCATTATATTAAGTAAATTCATGCATTATATAAAGGCATGAGATAAACCTGTAGTTAGGCTACTGTGAAAATCGTATTGTTGCTATTCAAGGAATGGGCTTTCTGTAATTGGTTATGTTAAAGCATTTTATCTGTCAAATACCGGTCTATAATGGTGATGTAGTGGAATTGAGTACTCGAGGTTTATCATTTGCAGTCAAAAGAATGTTGCTAATTTATGTCGTCCTTGTATTTGTCTATAGTTCAGTGCACTCTCATTGCGACAGTTGAGCGCTGCTCGGCACGATATATTTTTTTCTAATAATATTTGTGTTTTTAAAAAAGTTTTGTGTGAATTTCTGCACTATATACATAAAATACAGTGCGTTTAATTATATCCAAATGACATATTTCGTTTACTTGTTTTTTATGTTCAATAGTTTAGTTTTTAAAGAAATTTGAACTGTAAATTAGATTTGGTAATTTTCTTCCAGTTGTAAATTCATTATGCCTATTCTACAGTAACATGATTATCCAGTTTTATCAACTTAAAAAGAAAAGATATTGCGCATTTCTTGATCTTTTTGTTCCCTCCAGTGGTATTATTAACTGAGAATTTGAAAGAAATCAATGGTACATCCTGTTCAGCAAGCATTAGATTCACACAAAAAGTTTGATTCTGATCATCAGATGTTCATGTAAGTAAAAGCAGGTAATGGTTCCAGTTACCATCGCGAAAATAGCGATAGTGCAAGACAAAAGTGTTGAAGCAAAAAATTAGCACTGTCGATAGTGCAAGACAAAAGTGTTGAAGCAAAAAACTAGTTCTGTCCTCAATTCTGGCGTCTTCATTTGGTTAACTGTCTCAGAATGTGCAGATTCTCCGATGATCCTCAGTCTAAACAAAATTATAAGGACTGTTTCGTTTGGGCGATCTATTTGACCAAAAGTTCATCAATGGAGAAAGTAGCAATGAGCGGAATGAGATAATTTGGTAGGAGAACGGTCCATTAAAAAAAAACCATCAATGACAAATATTGGATGAATTAAAGTAAACTCGATACCTGAATTTGCTACGCTAATGTCACTTCATAAAGAACCTCACAAGGAACCTCAGTGAGGTATTTGCAAAAACATCCAGAATGAAGGATGTTGAAATGCCTGTATTATACAATGCGTAATTTTTGAAAAACAGCAGTATCTTGCATTACCTGAAGGACAAAGTAGCTTAATATCTGACACATAAACTTCTTGCGATACATACACAAAAACACTTTTTTTTTTCATTGTATACATGAAAATATGTTAAATTAAGTCACAAAAACTACCGCATAATTAATTATACGTCATCATACAAATTAACATGTGTGATTCGACGAATATTTTGAAATGATTTCAAACTTATCCAA